AACAATAATTTGCCTCTAGGTTTAGTTTTACTACGTTTTTATTCGTCAAGATTATAAAATCTAAAACAAGTTATACACCGTGATTTTTGGACTTTCTGTGAAACCTATTTTTTTTTATATTCTTGTTAATTAGGTCATAACTAAAATTTTAAGAGCCAAATAAAAAAAATTTGACGGTTTGAATTGTTTTAACACGTAGAGTGCCATGGTGGGTCAACGATGTCCACCAATTGAGATGATTTTATTTTTCCATTCTGGCCGTGGTGGGTCAAAGTTGTCCACCATGCCTCTTTAAAGTTCAGGCCGCGGTGCATCACAGCCGTCCACCAGAGCCATGCTATATAGGGAGTGATTTAGAATGCTTTTAGCAATATCTTAGTTTAGTTGGATTTCGCGCTGGTGATCTAACTTGTCCACCATGGCCGAAATTTAAGTACTGTTAATTTTTGGTTTTCTAACCACCCAAAATTAAGTGGCCAGTATGAACCGTCAATTTACCTTTCCATGGCGGCACTCTACGTGTTAATTGACTGTTTATTAAAAATATTATGCACTCTTTCAATTATCCAATTAAAACTAGCGATTTAATTTAAATATTTAATATTTGCATAACTAAAAAAAAGGCTTTTACAATTTTTTTTATATATTTTACTGTTTTGTTGCAATAAACGTTCAAACTTTTAATCTAACCTTTGACGTATACATTTATGTTCCCTTAATTAATATATCCTTAAAGGTTGCCATGAAACTTAGATCTATTAAAAATTTATTTGACGTTTGAATTGTCATTTTCGGTATACGTATTCTATAATTTTTGTTTAGTTTTTTAAAGTGTTTTTTATAAACAAAAATGAAAAATTGTAGTAAAAGTTACGAAGAAATTCATGAAATTTAACTAAGGACCGGTTTATTCATCTTTAGTAAAGTTTATCGGGCCGATAACTTTCATGTCTTGGCAATATCTAGTATCCAAAGAAATTATTCGTCAAAAAAATCAAAAATGAATAAATCGGCCCTAAACAAAATGTGGCACCCTTAGAATTATTGTTTAATAAATGTATACTATACATTTAACCTTAAATTAAAACTTTAAACGTGTATTACAACAAAACAGTAAAAGATATAAAAAATGTATAGACCTTTTTTTAGGAAATTAACTAATCTTTAATCTGATTTAAAAAGTTTTGATAATATTTGAATAAAATCGCAAGTTTTAATTGGAGAATTGAAAGTGTGCATACATATTTTTAATAAACATCCAATTAAAACAAAATTAACCGTCAAATTTTTTTTATTTTGCTCTTAAAATTTTAGTTATGACCTAATTAACAAGAATATAAAAAAAAATTAGGTTTCACAGAATGTCCAAAAATCACCTCTCAGAACAGCACCGTGTATAAGTAATCATCAGTAATTATTTAGATGCTCCCTTAAAATAAAATGGTCAAAATTACACTATTTTACTAATAAACTAGTTATTTTCACTTTTAAATAGTTACTTTTTACTACTTAAATAGGTAGTTATTTATGATTATTTCCATCATTATAATATGAACCAATCAAAAGCCTTGAATTTTCGAATAAATTTCGTTTAAATAAGCGATTAAATCAATAGAACTATTTAACAGCGATTAAATTTTAGCCTCCATATTGGATTTTTGTTTACGATTTTATGGTGTTATTTACAAGTTTTAACAAACATTAAAAAAAAAACAATAAAAAATAAGTTATCTAGTTTACGAAATATCAATTATTACTTATTACTAATATTTCCCTCATTATAATATGAACCAATCAAAAGCCTTGAATTTTCGAATAAATTTCGTTTAAATAAGCGATTAAATCACTAGAACTATTTAACAGCGATTAAATTTTAGCCTCCATATTGGATTTTTGTTTTCGATTTTATGGTGTTATTTACAAGTTTTAACAAACATTTTTAAAAAAACAATAAAAAATAAGTTATCTAGTTTACGAAATATCAATTATTACTTATTACTACTAATAAGTAATAATTGATATTTCGTAAACTAGATAAGTTATTTTTTATTGTTTTTTTTTATTGTTTTTTTAAAAATGTTTATTAAAACTTGTAAATAACACCATAAAATCGTAAACAAAAATCCAATATGGAGCTAAAATTTAATCGCTGTTAAATAGTTCTAGTGATTTAATCGCTAATTTAAGTTATTACATACCTTAAATTAATGGAATTTTCTCTAAAAAAATATTTATAAATTTTGACACATACGTCAGATTTTATGAATTGTCAAATAGTTTCCTTTAATTCGAGAAATAATCTAGACGTTTATCACTCAACCTATAAATTTAATCTGTCAAACTATGCTCAGTAAGTTTTTTATTTGATTTTTCTTTTTGGAAAATAGTTTCATGCAAAATAATTAAAAATAAACCCCTCGACCGCTACGCGGTCTCGTGGTTTTATTAAATTATTTTACATTCAACATTTTCCAACAAAAACCAAACAAAAAACTACTGAGCCTAGTTTAACCGAATAAATTCATAGTTCTCGTGATATAATATATGATTAATCATCAACTTTGACCGTTTTTGAGAGTAAAAAGTAGCCAATTTATTTAGTCGTTTTTAATTCTTGGGGTCAACAACAAACTATTGTTAGCGTTAAATGCATGTAGGCCATATGGTAAAATGGCTCATAAAAAATGATGTAAAAAGTTTAACTCAAAACAGTAACACCAAAAGATATTTAATTATTATATTTATTTTATTTAAGTATCTTTATAAAAGTAGCAATAGCGCTTGACCCCAATTACTTTTTTAAATTTAAATCTACTAATTCCATTTGGTACAATTTGACTCATTCCTTGGGGGATGGATATTAGGGTGGATCGAAAAAAACTTTTTTCCAATTTGATAATGGCCCGGGTGGCAAAAGTTGCCATTCATAAAAGTAGGTTTTTTTGCTAAAAAATGTTTTTTTAAATCAACCCCTTCAGGTGCCCCATCCCCAAAAAAAATCCGATACGGCCCTATGTGTAAACTCTCCTTGAATGTTTAAAAAGTGGGTGTTCAAAAATTGGAGGCTCTCGAAACATTTTCGGAGGTGCCCCAAAGACCTAACAGAAAAATATGAAATCCTATTTTATGTAGATAATACACTTTTAGCTGGAATTTAAACAAATTAACGAAATAATAGATTTATTGACGATAGTACGATATGTTACATATCTATAAGGTAGAACCAAGTCAAAAAATCCGAACAGAAATATTAAAAGTAAGTGTAGAAACAATAATATAGGTAAGAAAAATAAAACTATAAATTTAACAAAACTGAAGCTGCCACAACGAATTGAGCTTAAAGGGAAAGTGTACCGATATAAAGAAATATAATATTATTAACAAATATTTAAGTTAGAACGTATACTAATATTAAAAAAAACAAAAAGTTATTTAAGCTTAAATTCTGACTTAGAATTAAATGATTTCATAAGCTTCCTAGACTCGATTTGAGATTTTATAAAACCATCTCGTTTTTCCTCTCCACAAACTTTAGATGATGCCTCTGTAACTAAATGTACACATCTTTCAGTGGCCTGAGTGTGACAGGGGAACTTGGGCAAATCTAAAAAGGGTGGGTCAGTTTCTTGACCAGATACAAAACCTTCCAGGTCCTCGTCAGAGACGTGCTTTAATATTGGTGGTTCTGACCTATCTGTTTTATACCAATAAATGATTTCTGTATAATCCTCTGCCTGCATGTTTAAAGGAGGTACGCGAAACTGTCTGACAGATGTTGAATTTTTGTTTTTTTTTCTAGAAGCAATTATTCTGCGGCATGCTAACTTGCGGATGTGCTCTCTGTTATCTGTCAGCATCGCTAGAAGCAGATTCTCTGAGTGGCCAAAAAAGCCATTCCTCTGTATTACGACATCTACTATTCTCCTTAAATCAGTCGGCATATATCTTGAATATGCAATCAATCTCCACAAATGTCGTGGACCATCACTAGGTACATAATGGCTTACATTTGATATTGAACCATAATGGACCATATACTTTCATGATAAATGTAGCTAAGTGTACCAGATTTTCCGTGGGATGCTCCGATGCGACATATAACCGAAGGATTCTACTCGCCGTTGTCACCCATCTTGAATGTACGACTGGTCCTGGTTTAATCCTCGCAAGGTCTTCGCTGCATTCTCCAGATGATTCTGCATGCAACATATCATACAAGTATTGCTGATCAGTACTCAAAATATTTCTATCTAAATCAGGAATTGTGTTACTCCCAATTTTGGAGAATCTGACTAGAGAAAGGGTTTCACAAGTTTGTATTGATTTTCTAATGGCACCAGAGAAAGCTTTCGGACCTTGAGTAACACCATCAAGTTGGATTAAAAGGTGGCGTAAGGGAAGTTCGTTTAGATGTAACATGCAAATGAACCATTGAAGAGGGCGATTTAGGGCAATTTCTAGGAGTCTTATTATTCTTGCGCTTTCCTGTGTTGACGTTAGTGCCATCACATCCAACTACTATTAACGAATCAATCGATATTTCTTTTCTATTAAAGAAATCCAATATGGCATCTTTGATGACGACAGATGATCCAGACGATACGGCTAAATGGCCGAAGTAAATGGAACATGGCTCTTTTGCCAAGGATATATGCTCCTCTTTAATGGTACTATAGTAATACTTATCGCCCTTCTTAGTTTGTGTCAGGGATTTATCCTTCCGTCCATCAAAATATAACGCTTTTATTACCTTCATGTTCTTATTTTGCAATTCTTTCCTGTGCTTTTCCCTTTCCCGACGAACTTTATTTTGATCTATTATTTTAGAAGTGTACTGTTCATTAATGATGCCCAAATCTTGTAACAGAGCGGAAGAAAGTGATGCAGCACTTCTGTCTGAAACACCGTAACGATCGCACTCCCTAGCAAAAGCTGTGATATTTACCCTCATTTGCAATTTTGAAACGTCTTCAGTTGTAAAAGTACAAGAGGGCTGGAAATTAGTCAGGCAACTTTTCCGGATCATTCCTAGTCTCATTTTCAGAGTCTCCTGGCCCAGATGCAGTATCCTTAGACTTTAATTTTAGGCGTTTTTCAAAATGTTTTTCAGGGTCTTGGGATCGTCCCATCTTTTTTTGGTTTCTTTTTGCTATTTTCCTGGAGGATGCTACATCAATTGATCCTATGACTAGGTTTCTGGTAGTTCGCTGATCTATTACAAATTCCCTTTCTTGTGCTGGAATTTTCTTCTCTTTGGAACAATGGCAATCGTTAAGGTATTTACATTTACAACTAGCAATATCAAAGAGAGTTTCCTCCCAGCTAAGTTTTAAATCTTTGAGCTTCTTTGTGTAGCTTTCAGATTGCTGTCTGCCCTTATATGGTTTGAGTAAAGTCCTATAGTCAGTATTCAATTTTTTTATTTTCTCAGTACCTAACTGTAATTGTTGGAACTAATGACTTCTTTCAGATGTCCACTATGGTGTTTGCAGTTTCTGTTGCTATTATTGAAGCTGGTGGATCTTTGCCTGCCATGATGCCTTTTTTCTCATTCCTGAAAAACAAGTAGTGTCGAATTACATCCGCATTCGTGGGAAGTGTTAGCTGGGATATCTCGGCAAGGTTTTCAAAGATAGGACAAAGGGTGGTAGGAGTTTTTGCGCTCATTTTACTTTGTTTGGTATCTAAAACAAAAGAAACAATAGTTCGGCCATTCCACGCGTAACGGATGGGACAGTTGCAAGTTTTTATTTACAAAATAATATTGTTCTATTATATTACTAATGTAAAATTTTTATAAATAGTTCTAAACAAAAGCAGTTTAACAAGGTTTTTATTTGGCAAAATTAGGTATCGTGGTTGACTGTTCAATTCCTTAAAAATTAATAATTTAAAACGTAACGGACGGGACTATTAAAAACCACCACTAAATTTGATAAAACTATGAATGTGATTTCTCTAAATTTATAAAAGATAAAAGAAATACGTTGTGTTGAAAAGACAGAGCAATGTTTAAAGTTTTTTTATATAGGTCAGAATCTTAACAATTTGTAAAAGCTTTTTTATTAGGTTATCATTTTTAGTGTAACGGACGGAACGTAACGGACGGGACATATATTTTTACATTATTTTTTTGCAGAAAACATTAAAAAGGAAAAATAGATTCTACTCATATGGTATTACAGACAATTGAAAATTAAATGCTTTTGGTCTCTGCAGTTACATGTAAATTGGTCAAACCTTTTTGTCAACATTGGTACTTATTTTTGAATTTCAATGTCTGAAATAATAGAAATAACAAAATTGTGTTCATCCTTAATTACATCATAAAATCATCAGCATTATTAATGATTGCTCTGCAAGTTTTTACCTTAAGCCAGGCTGCCCCTTTCCCGTGTGAAGTGGCAAAAAAATGCCACTCCATATCGACGCCAAAATCTTGCTGAGCGAAGCAAAGCTTGCCTAAAGTGAATTATGCCACCCAAAATTGAAAATCATAGAAAAGAAACAGGAAAGTACACAAATATCATAAAAAATAGTGACGCCCTATTTAGGCACAAGAATTGATGGGCATTTAAAACCGTGCGAAAGGTCCCTAATATTGGCTTTAGGTCCCTGGTGGGAACTTTCTACAACTTTTAAATTGCATTTTAATTTTACTTTAGGGGTTAAAAACGTTATCTTGAGTTCCTACATACTTGTGCCTCTGAAAATTTTTCGCTGTCCGACTTTATCGTTTAATAAAGGTTAAAGGCATTGTCATAGTCAGTGTCAACCACAGACCTACCTTGTTTGTAGGTCTGTGGTGTCAACCAACGCTTTTTTTTTGAGGGGTTGGGGCACCTGATGGATTGATTTAAAAAAACAAATTTTTTAGAAAAAAAACTTACTTTTATGAATGGCAACTTTTGCCACCCGGGCCATTATCAAATTTGAAAAAAGTTTTTTTCGATCCACTCTAATGGATATATACTTAGATTTAAGATAAAGATAAATATGGATATTGCTTAGGAAAGTCCTGGGATAAAAACAAATACAATGTATAAAACTTATTTCTGTAATTGGGCCCTGTATTTCAGTAGATGTACATGTATATATATAAACTAGCTAGTCTATACATTTACGTGAAAAATTGTATAGCAAAAGTTTACATTAACTAAAACTAACCAACGTAACCCACAAAACCAACCAACCAAACCAAACAACCAATCCAATCAACAGTAAATGTACGCGTTATAACACGCAATTTTAATGAAATTTCAAATATATGCGGTATAAATAATTGCACCTTGAAAGAACTTATTAATTGTTGTATAACTTACCGTAGATCTAATTAATTATTGGTTTCTGTATTTTATTATATGTATATGTATTATCATTATTGTCCGTAAGTACAGATATTAACAGTTTTCCATACTTTTACTTGATTCTGGTAGTAATTGTATGCATTTCCTAGTAAATGTACGCACTTATAAATGCGTTTACTAGTAAATACACTTTTACTAATTTCCACGTAAATGTATGCACTAGCTAGTTTTTGTATACATATACTGAAATGTATGCTTTGACTGTAAAATGTAAATATCTGTACTTTTACTATTAAATGCGTACATTTACTGTTTAGTTGGTTATTGTTTGTTGGGTTGGTTGGTTTGGTTTTTTTTTGTTGTTGATGTTGGTTGTTTGGGTTGGTTGGCTTTGTGGGTTGGTTAGTTTTGGACTCAATGTATACATATAGGTAAGTAAAATAATAATAAGCTTTTGAATACATTTACGAATCGAAATCAGTTATTGTATACATTAGCTTGTAAGTGTATACATTTACGGAACTTTCACAATGAATGAAACATATATAAATAAGTAGTAGTACAAATGTGTTATAACGAGTAGCGTAGTGTATTCTCAACAAATATATTGAATGTTTTTTTAATGTGTTCAAAATTCCCTAAATAAACTGAATCGTTCGAGAATTCGAGAATACATTTTTTTAGAATGAATCGCTTCGAACAACTTTAATCCAAACACCTTGGCAATACTGGAACACGAAAAATAGAAAACTTCTTTTATTATTTATTTTTAATGCTCAAAAGGATTTATCAATAAATGGTGGTGGGGTGGTAATTTTAACTTACCCGATAATCCCATGGGTACGTTTTAATAGTTCCATAGTAGATAACAGCACAGCATAAAGAAATAAATACTCCTTATGCTGTGATAATAGTAAGTAAATTAATGCTAATTATTTTTTTAGATGGCACACAAAATAATGAATGCTTATACTGCTTTTATGTTTGTTTTATATAAAGAAAATTAATAAAATAATAAAAATATAATATGACATAAATACTTAAGTATTTATGTCATATTAAAATATAGTTATTAGTAAAAAAGAAACCATCAAGTTTTTAATAAAACTGATAATAAAATATTCTTAACAATGTAATTTAGCAGTACTAAATTTTTTTTACTGTATTTAGTGTAGTTAAAATACCTTAATAGGTTAATTCGTTTAGTAGAAAAACTTTTTTTCTACCCCTATTACGAAATATAACCATTCTAATACCACTTTTTATTGTGGAATTACATATTAAAGTATTAGAACTAGAATTAATTTTTTTATCACCGAAGGATGAAATAAACACTGGTGGCGACATCTCTTAATTTTAGTACGATCCAACCTCACTTTCTCCCAATTAAATTATTTTTCTTGGTATTTTTGAAAACGTTGAATAAGTATAGTCTGAAACACATTTGAAATTGCATATTCCAAACTTGTAACAATATACTATTATTATCCAATACAAAATTGTTTGATAATATTTTTTGTAATAATGTTCGTCCTGGAAAAACTATAGTAACTTGATATTTTATATTTATTAAGTTTCTCATACTTACGAAATACCAATAAAGATCCTTAAAAATCAAAATTGCACTCTTATAGGTACCGCCAAACGGGGTAAAGTGGATGACAACTTCCTGAGGTAATATTAAAATGCGCAGTCGCGAACCTGTAACGTGATTGCGAATTTTGCCGGCGCAAGTCAGTCTAATGGTGGTTGCACTGAGAGAAAAAATGTTGTAGAATCATTCAAAACGATAATAATTCAAAGGGATTCAAGTATGTTTTGGCGTCATTGGTGGGTCCCATTAAATAAATAGGTGTATAACAATTGTATAATACATATCTTTTTAAAACAACGTTGAGAAAGGCATTGAAATAAATAGATTTCTTTTTGTATATATATTTTAAAGAGGGTACACTTTAAAAGTGTTTAAAAACATTGTAAAACTGTTCGTAAATGAATATAAAACTACAAATTTACCCGATTAATTAAATTAATATAATTTCATATGCTTTTTATAACATGATATTTCTCTGAGTGTGGGCTTATACACTGAGAAAAGGAAATATTTAATATTAAGAAATCAAAACAGTTGCGATTTTTTTAAAATATATGTTAACTATTAAAAAATTTCTTAATCGTGAACGAATTATATACTAATAATTAAAACATCGTCCGGTGATTGTGTTTCAGACAAATAAAGGATAAAGTTGTCTTAGAACTGTGATATATTAACAGTTAATATACCTAAATTCGAATAAAACGTTTTAACATTTGTCAACATAATTTTAAATGCAATATGCGCAAGCATGTGACGTTGCCTTAGTTTTTTACAAAATGGAACTTCGATATATTAACAGTTAATATATCTACATTTGCTAATACGTTATGAGCTTCTTTAATTCAACTTAACCAGTTCTTAGACCCAAATTAATATTTCTTTCGCCATATCCAACTCATCGATTTGTTAATAGTTAACGTGCCTCGTTATTAACAAATATTTCGTTCTCTCAGTGTATGCGTTAATTTTCATAAACAAAGATAAGTTTGCTTAAAACAATATATGTTCTAAAATTCAGAAATGTACATTTATCGAAATGTCAAAAATCGTTTATTTGCACAGGCGATATGTTAATATTTATGTGTATTTGACAATTGCATATCAATAACACTGTGCGACAAAATAAGGGTCAACATTTCTAAGACGAAATATGTTCACTAATTATGGAAGAATGCCTCCCCAAAAACATATTCCCTGAAGGATTTTGTTCGATTAGTTCGCGTTTTCAAGTAATTATTATTTAAACAAAAAAATTCAGTGACCGGCGAAAGTATGGGACAAATTCATTTAAAAAATTTCTTTTTTATTTAAAAAAAATCCTTGAACACGTCGATTTTGTTTTTCAATTCAGCACATTTTGATGTAAAATTTTGAAGATGATAAAGAGGACTTAATTTTAAATTCTTCTTGGAGCAATGACGATTAATCGATTCCGATGAAAGCGAGGAGCATTTAAATGAAAATAGAGAAGCTAAGAAGAAACGCTATAAATGAAAATTCATCGTTCTGTATATTGTTCTTTGCTTTTTCTTATATTTTAGATGCAAAATCTGCTTCCTAATTTGTAAATTTGTAATTTTAAGTTTGTTGTTTAGTTTTGTCGAAACATCATTAAAAACTATACATTTTCTACTTTTAATGATTAATATTTTCAAAACTATCAGCCCAAAAGGTTTACATACGCATATTACTAAAATCAGAATTTTATATGGGTGTCCAATTTAAAAAAAAAATGGTCGACGTCATTGCTTTTACAAAAATGTCGGAAAATATTAAAATTTTATATGAAAATGTGCGGAATTGAAAAACAAAATAGACGTGTTCAAGGATTTTTTTTTAAATAAAAAGGGAATTTTTAAATGAATTTGTTCTATACTTTTGTCGGTCATTAATTTTTTTTGTTTAAATAACAATTACTTCAAAACGCAAACTAATGGAACGAAATTCTTAAAGGAATATGTTTTTGGGGTGGCACTATTTCATAATCAGTAAACAGATATTATCTGAGATTTTTACTGTCGCACACTTAAAATAATGAACAGTCAAGACCTCTGTGTCTTAAAGGGGAGTCCGTGTGGGATTTTTTTAATCCACTGAGGTCACCTCTCGGGGCAAAGTGGATCTCGTCAAAAAAATTCTATAGGTACCTATGGATACAAAAGTATACCAATAAAATTTAATTTTCTGTTTGTAAAAACATATTTTGACTTTATATAGACCATAGACTGAGACTGTGAGAATAAAAGACCTATTTTTGAAGTTTCTCAGTGATTTTAACTATTTATATTGTTTTCCCTGCTTAAAATACCCCATAGAGACCCTGTTCAAATCGATAGATATTTGTATCGGAATGTATGGTGTTTCTATAGGGTGTATCGGTATGTATAGGACTCATAGTTGGGATTTATGGGTGTTCTATAGGAATATCCACCCTTGATTTATTTGCTATTGGTTTCAATGGGGAAAATACTCATAAATGTAGAAATTAGTTTTTCCCCCATAGGACCCCATAGGTTTTAATAAAAATGTTTCAAATATTTTATGGTTGCTCTATAGGGATATCCCTATACCTATATCCTTCATTGAATTATTAATAGGGAAAATGTAAAAGTTATGGTGTGCCTATAGGTAATTTCCTATAAATTTTCTATCGGGCCGTATCCGGAAAAAAAAACATGGACAAATTGAATCCGGCAGCGCCCGATAGATTATTTTGTATAGGTCTATATGGGGTATTTTATGCAGGGTTTCCCTTATTTTTGAAGTTTTTCATTGATTTTAATGATTTACACTGCTTTTTCCCTACGTTTTTTTTTAAATTATTATTTAATTGTGATCCGCTTTACCTAGCATATGTTTAAAGTGAATTTGTATGATTTTTAATGGATTATCGACTTTACCTCAAACTATGGGTAAAGTGGATCACTATATAGATATAAAAAAATAGGTCATTGAAAGAGTTACAATGGGCAAGTGGGCAAGTGGTCAATGCATATCTGAGTAACCAAGAAATGTACATTTCAAGTTTCAGGCAAAAATGTCGAATAGTTTTGGAACTAATTTGAATAAAAGGATATTTTTTATCCATTTAGCCCCGGTTGACGTTTGCAAATTGTTGCCAACAACATTAAGCTTTATTTTTATATTATAATATTTTTATATTTTAATTAGATTTCATAGTTTATTTTTTTAAATAATCTTGGAATAATGTTTTATGTTACTTTATAAAATATTCATTGTTTAATGTAGGTAGGTATATAACGTATACACAGACAAAATAAACGTTAAAAAAGAGTTATTTTTATTTTATTCATTTTAAATAAATATATATAATTTTTTTTAAACGTGCTGCAAATTAGGCTGCAATCCAAGTGTAAAAATTCTAGTTGGTAATATAAATTTTAATGTATTAAAGACCGGAAAAATGTTTGTATGCACATTTCCTGAAGGGTACTGTTTTTGGAAAGGAACAAACTGAATTAATAATTAGTAATTGATGGAAATGTTATTTTTGGAAGAAATATGTCTTTTATTTTTATTTAATTAGTGAGTTTGCGAAGAAGATTTTTATTTTTTTGCTTTAAAATAAAAAACACCCATTTGTAAAGGATTAACGGTAGCAAATAGTTCTGTGGGTAAAAGGCATAAGGGGATAAGTCAAAACAATCAATTTTTTAGTAGTGGCTTAAACGTGTTCGCATTAATTTAGGAAATACATTTATGGTTAGCGGGTATATCCTTTTGCCAGCACATGTCTTATGCTAGCAAAAGGGTATGCTTGCTAACCATAAATATATTTCCTGAATTAATACGAACACATTTAAGTCTCTACCGAAAAATTGCTTTTTTTGACTTATCCCCTTATGCCTTTTACCCACAGAGTTAGGCCCTGGATCTTAATTTAACCCTTTGCCTAGTGGTTTCATGTGGATACCAACTTTTTATGATTTTTTATAAACTCTTATGTTATGTTCCAAAACGATCTAAATATTTCGTTAGCGCTAACCTATTTTCCAAGTACTATTGTCACAAGTTCTTAAGCATTCAATTACCTTTTGAATTATGTGTGTTGTCAGGTAAAACAAACATGCTTATGCTCGCTAGCAGCAACAATTACTGCAAATGTTACTTTTTCGCAATTTTGTGGGAACAGGCAATGGTTAACATAGAGATCACATTGGTTCTAACAATTGCCAAATTTAAAATTATGATATATGATATGATAGCCACTGCACATTATGAGTTCATTTATTTGTACTTTGG